TATGCGATCCATGATTTGGAGTAATAAATAAAATCCGAGTATTCAATTGTACAAAACCTTTCTTTCACAAAACATTTCTAACTTTACCTCAACATCACCAATATCTGAAGAATAAATAATAAGACCTTTAAGTTAAAGGCATTGAGTCAAACGCTCAATAAAATATCGAGTAAATATAAATTTACTGCGTTGTTTAAGGCGGCCTACAAATAGGTTGGTGAGAAATAGTATTCACCTTCTTAATGGATGATGTCCATGATGATGACATCGGCAGGAATTGTCGTGGCATTGTGCAGTAAAGCCATCGTTACAGGTACAGTCTGAGTTATGTTGACAAGAGTCGCCAGCAGCTCTAGCAGCGTGGTTGTTGGGATGGTGATTATCCGGGGGATGTGTATGTGGGTGATGGGTCACGTGTCCATAATGGTGACATCGGCAAATGCTGTCTTTACAATCAGCAACAAATCCATGTGGACAGTCACAATCAGAATTCACCGAGCAAGAGTCACCAGCAGCTCTACCAGCGTGGCTGTTGGGATGGTGATTATCCGGGTGATGTGTATGTGGGTGATGGGTCACGTGTCCATCATGGTGACATCGGCAAATGCTGTCTTTACAATCAGCAACAAATCCATGTGGACAGTCACAATCAGAATTCACCGAGCAAGAGTCACCAGCAGCTCTACCAGCGTGGCTGTTGGGATGGTGATTATCCGGGTGATGTGTATGTGGGTGATGGGTCACGTGTCCATCATGGTGACATCGACAAATGCTGTCTCTACAATCAGCAACAAATCCATGTGGACAGTCACAATCAGAATTCACCGAGCAAGAGTCACCAGCAGCTCTACCAGCGTGGCTGTTGGGATGGTGATTATCCGGGAGATGTGTATGTGGGTGATGGGTCACGTGTCCATCGTGGTGACACCGGCAAATGCTATCTCTACAATGAGCAACAAATCCATGTGGACAGTCGCAATCAGAATTCGCTGAGCAAGAGTCACCAGCAGCTCTACCAGCGTGGTTGTTGGGGTGATGTCCGTGATGGCGACATCGGCAGCTATTGTCGTGACATTTTGCAGTGAAACCATCGTCGCAAACACAGTCTGAATCTTGGCTACACTTATCACCAGCTGCTCTGACTGAAAGTATATCATATGTGAAAGTAATGATAATGATCATAGCTCGGCAGCC